GTGTGCTAATATATACACATACGTATTCGAATTTTGTTTGACAACGTTCATGAGTGCACACTACACCAAAACGAGTATTTAGCTACTGCAAAACCAGTAGGCAAACAGTCGTAAACCTATGTTTTACGACTGATTACCGACCAATAAGTGATGTAGGTAAAAGTTTAGTCGCAAAAAATATCAGTCGCAAAATAGCTACTGAGGTACGACTGATCTACGCAGTTCTACTACAGTCGTTAACCAGTCGGCACTCAGTCGTAAGATTTAACGACTACATAACGACTGAGTAGCGACTGTATTTTGCTACTAAAATATGTAGTCGTAACGCAGTCGTACCCGTTGGCGACTGTCTTGCGACAGAATAGCGACTGTAGTTTGCTACTAAATGTGTCGTCGGTATGTAGTCGTAATATTAGCTACTTATTTACGACGAAAATGTTGCTACTAAATACCTACTACTTGGTTTTTAACTAACCGAATTTCGTTTAGCATTCTAATTTGGTTCCTGATTTTAGTGTAAAGAAAAGTACTAACAAAAACAAATTATATAAATCTTAAAATCCGAAGAACACATCAAAATAAAAATTCAAGTGCATACAAACATGAGTTTAAACACAACATAAGTTTAATCTTTCCAAAAAAAAACACAACATAAGTTTAAAGTCTTATAAAAGCAAGAGAGTTATAAACCTAAACAGGTTCAGTAGGTGGATGATCAGAAGCAATTTCTGTGGCAAGGAAAGCAAGGAACCTGTCGTCGGTTTTCAAGCTTGGTCCTTCAGCTTCTGTTCAGCATTTTCAAGCTGTTGTGCATCTGCCGGAATGAAGCTGAGGTTACTGTGTTGTGTGCCTTTCCCTTTAGCATACTCTTGAGGCTTCCAATACCAAACAGTGCTCCTCTAGGCACACAGGACCAACTATAGTATGGGCCATCAAACTTGTTGGTGAAGCACTTAGTAATCTGGCGGGAGAGTGAAGATTTGTCAAAACCAAACCTACAAAGACAGATAAATACAATTTCTTTTGTAACCTACAAGTTAAAACAATGAAGTCTAATAAATGGATTACGATAGTCCATGTGCTTAGTCCAAAGACAAGCCTTATCCTAAGACTAATAAACATCGTTCAAAGACTAAACTCATAGCTAAACTCACATCTCAATTCAAGCAAAACAAAAATCAATTCAAGCAAACTAATAGGTAAATTAATAGAAAGAACATATATTAACTAAACTCATAGCTAAACTAATAGAAAGAACAGATATTACCAAGTTGAATCCGGCACAATGAGGTCGGGATCAAGGAAAGTGATTCCCTTCGGCCGTGGTGCAAGTAGCAGCGAATTAAGAGCCTCCATTTGGTCTTCGGAGAGATTTGGTTCAGGGGGAGCTCCAAGATCCGAAATATCTTCTTCTTCTTCTTCTTCTTCTTCTTCTTCTTCTTCTTCTTTTTCTTCTTCTTCTATTGTAGTGTGTGAATTTTGTGCTTGGGAACTATGAGGAGATTGAGTTGGTCGTTGTGGAGGCTGAAGTTGTGGACTCGATCGAGTTATGAAATCCAGAGATTTCCGCGTTGGAGTTGGAGTACCTCGATTCAGAGACACATAAGGTCTGTGTTGAGGTGGAGGAGATTTGCCGGAGAGTGGGACTGTTGGAGCATCTCGGTTTGCAGAAGCTGCCGGGGAATCAGGACCACCCGCAGGAAACGCCAGAGAAACTGAGGCGGAGTTCCCGAACAGACCCATCGGAGGTGGGTAGGCTCTAAACGACGGCGGCTGATTGTTGTTGCGAAGAGGAAGCGGAGGGACTGCTTCCGTCGAAGCTCTCGGAGGATCCGTCGAAGGTCTCGGTATGAAATCATACCGAGTGGGAAGATTCGTCGGCGTTCTCCTTAAGGAACTGTTAGGTCTGACGAGGTTTCGCTTCCTCTTTCCAGCCATCACAATCAAAGAAGAAGAAGAAAGGAGAGTCGAGGCAGAAGAATTAAGAAGAATCAAAGGGTTAGGGTAGGTTGAAGAAGAAGAAGAATCGATGGAGAATAGGTTGAAGAAGAAGAAGGTTCGATGCGAGAAGAAGAAGAATGAAGAGAGTTTTAGCGTTTTAGGGTTAGGGGAATTGATTTGGGCTTTGTTGGGCTTACTTCAAATCGAGAGGCCCATTAAAATTGTGGTCCAATTTGGTCCAATTTCTAAGCCCATATATCTTAATATTTAGTCGGTAATCAGTAGTTCTTCAGTAGCAATATTTATTTAAAATTTCTTAAAATTCAACTAAGTTTAATAACACAAATAACACACCAAACAACATAATTCAACAAAAACTTATCGTAATTAGTGAGGTGCTTCACCTACCGACGAATGATTTCCATGTTTTCTAACCAACTTTCACTACTGTTTTGCTACTGTGGGATGACCCACCGACGTCAGTCGCAAATTAGTCGCAAACAGTGATGGTTTTACGACCCACCGAATTTAGTCGTTCATTAGTCGATACATTTACTACTGATTAACGACTACTATTTTCCGACTACCACTTCGTCGCATATCCGTCGTACTTTTGCTACGATAGGACCACTGTCGTATTGAGTCACTAAATACCGACTGATGTGCTACTAATATACAATAGTCGTAAGTCAGTCGTT